TACAGCCATGCGCGCTTCGTCAACTGGGGTGTGAGGTCAGGCGTTGGGGTTTCGGGGGGTCCGTCTTCTCCAAGCATCTCTTACAAACGCCCAACCCAGCCATTTTCACTGCAATTACACCAATTCTATTCGTAGTCACGTCAGTCCGCCTTCTCGCCATGGCGGACGACACGGAAGCTGCTGAATCACCCTCCCCATGGCCCAAACCACCAGTCACAGGCCTAGATTTCCTACGACGCACCCAACCTGCCGCCGTGTTAGGCTCGTCTTCACCGACACGCGTTCCAGTGGCTTCATCCCCGAATCGGCAGGATGTTACTCCTTTTTCATGGCCCGCTGTTAATGCTAGACGGGCTTTCAGCAGCACACTGCCCGTCTCCCCTAGTTCCTCTACACGGAATACACCGAATCCTAGATCGCAAGCGGCGCCTAGCACTTCACGTGGTACTGCCGTGCCCCGATTCCCCAAGGCAAGCCGATTTACCCAGAGCACACTGCGGATTGCTAAGACAGGGGTTCCACACGTCCGCATCGTGGCACGCCCCACCACAGCGCCTAGAGTAGGTGATACATCAACTCCACCAGCAGCTCAACCGACAGGTGATCCTGGGCCTTCCAGGAGCACCATCCATGTCCCTGATCCTGACTCGCTAATGGAGAAGCTCCACGAGCTGTCGAAGGAATATTGGCACGACAAGTTCAAGTGGCTGATTATCACGCAGAGGAAGGACGGGACGCCATGCATGAAGTGCAGCATATGCATGGCTCACGGCCCTGCCCACTGGAAGTTCGGTAAACTTGGCGAAGGAGGCGTTGATATCCAGCGGCAAACGATGCGGAAGCACGCGCTCAGCAGGAAGCATCAGGACGCCGTCAATGCCAAGCTTCGCGCTGAAGGCGGTAAGGTTGACCAACGGGGCATTGAGGAATTCGAGAACGACGACAACGAGACGTCGCGGCTGAAACAACTGATGCTAGTCGTGCTCTTTATCTGCAAATCCGATTCACCCATCTCCCTTTTTGTCGATCTTGTTCGCCTGTTGGCCGAGCTTCAGACGCCGCACATCCCGGACAAGGCCATAGGGACATACCAGTCAGCGTGAGTGATGAAACGTTCTTGTTTTGTGTTTCTGGAGTCACTACGACTAATACCACCTTGTCTGTGACGTACAGGTACGGCTTTCGTGAAATAACTGAAGCGATCGTCACCAACCTTAAGCTGCAGCAGATGCGCCACATCCAGGCGTCTCCGTTCCTAGGCATTCAACTCGACGAGAGTACCGACCGGCGCAGAGGCAAGCACATGATCGTCTATCTGAGCTTCATTCGCGACGCCGAGGTCGTCACCGAGCTGTTTGGGCACCTGACAGTCGAGAAGTGCGACGCGTCGTCTCTGTTGACGGTACTTCTTGCCCATTTGGCCGTCACGGGCGTCGACATCATGAAATTGTCGGGCATAAGTACGGATGGCGCGAGCGTGATGCGGGGTGCACAGGCTGGAGTGGCGACACAACTGAAACTGCGAGTTCCACACCTGGTGACGTGCCACTGCATCGCTCACAGGTGCGTTGTCGCAGAGAACTTGGGGAGGAGCATCGTCTTGCACACGCGGTTCATGGAACTCCAACACATCCTGCACGAGACGTCTCTGGAGGTGCAGGGGTTTAAAGACGTTCGATGGCTGGCGCGTGGCGACGCGATTCGGAGGCTCGTGGCAGTTCTACCGGCGGCAATAGTGGTGTTGTGGGAGCACGACAAGAAGGCCTACGCGACAGTCTCAAGCTTCAAGTTTCACTTCTTCCTGTTTTTCCTGGCAGATGTGCTGAAACTGCTCAACGAGCTGAATCTCAAGTTTCAACGACGCACGGTGAGCACTTGTGAGGTCCGTGCTGATGTTTATGCATACTAGCGTCTCTGACTACTGCTTCTGGCTGTGTACAAGTGGACATCACCCGGGTGGCATCAATGGTCCACAACACGTGTGACAAGCTGAAGCAACGATACATCGAGCACGGCGTCAACTACGCTGAGGATAGCGAGTTGCTCACAGAGTTTTTGGAGAAGCACGGACCGTTGAACAAGCGGGAGGTGACTGTCGAAGGCATGGATGGGGAGGGAAGTCCCGTCACCCACACTTTCAAGCTGCACGAGGACGCCATCAAGGGTCAGAAGTCCAAGGGAGACATTGATTCTTGCATCACTGTTACCCGCCTTTTTGCGCAGGAAGTTGTAAAGCACCTTCTGAAGCGGATGGAGAGCCTAGACACCCTCACTGGAGCGAAGCTTTTCCTGCCTGACGCGTACCCCGAGGGTTGCGCGAAGAGAGACCGCCTCTGCGCAGCCTGGTTCCAGTCTCTCCGCAAGCTGTTCAGTGCGGAGAAGTGCGTACTTCCAGGTAGGTGTGTGTCTCTGGAGTGCGTCAAGGTTACACACTCGGTGTTATGTTCCCAAAGGCTTACCTCCCCGTCGCCCCCCCCCCCCCTCGTGTATTTGCTACTGTGCGTGAGCACGAGTGAGCTGGAAAAAGGCGGGACGGGAACTGGTGCCATTCACCAAGATGATGGCCTCGCAGTACAAGGACCAGACATTCCACGCCGGCCTCAAGCACATGTTGCGCAGTGAAGACTGGGAGACGAGCTACCCCAACATGGTCCGCATCTGGATCGCTCTCGCCGTGCTGCCGTTGAGCACCGTCGAGTGCGAGCGCGGCTTCTCGAGGCAAAACATAATCAAATCATGGCTCCGCGGTAATCTGTGCAACACACGCCTGGCGGATTTGATGTCGGTGTCGCTCCTGCAGTACGAGCCGAACTGGGACGACGTGGTGGCCGCCTGGAGGGGGGCAAAGAAGAGGCGCCCTGCTAAGGAAGTGACGACCAAGGACACTCCAGAGAGAGCCCCTAAGCAGAAGGCTGAGAGAGGAACGTCAGCTGCTGCCTCCAATGAAGACGACGATGATGAAGACGTGGTAAGGAGGACCTCTAAGAAGGGCAAGGCAAGTGCAGCTGTAGCCGTGTCGGACGACAGTGATAGTGATGACGATAATGGGCTTGATGTCCGTGCCACAGTGGCGCTTGAGTCTGATACTGAGTAGAGTAGAGTAGACTAGAGGTAATGTAACACCTAGTTTGAAGTTGAATAATATACTCTTGTGATGTGATAGTTCTTTAACGGAACTGGTGAGTGATTTCAGCTAATGCCAGTATACTCCCAAAAAAGGAAAAACAGAATTGCAAGTGCACCGTGGTCTGACACACCAGAGAGATTCTGAAAAATCCTGATCAAACAGACAGGGAAGCACTCATCCTACTGATGAAGCAGACAGGCCCGAAGGGCCCGTCTGCTCCATCAGGCACCCTTAGATCCTAGCGACAACCCTGGTGCTGCATTCCACAGGGTGTGAAACTTTGCATAGAGTAATGTTGCATACCATGGAGATTCCAGATCACCACCAATCATATGGCAGCCCACAATCCCACAGGTGTCCCACTGACCTACTGTAGCTTACAGAGCTAGAGCAAAATGTGGGGATGTAATGTGTTAATATCGTCTGATTAGGGAGGGAGGATGAGAATTACCGGTAGCTGTATGGATAAACACCCCAGTTTCTCCAATGTTTGTTCGTGAAACTACAGTATAGTATTGTGCGGTAGTTTGTAGTTGCAGCTTCTGTATTGTGGCAGTGGAACCGAATTGTAGCTGGCATGGGGTAGTACACTCCTTGATGTACAATAAACGGTAATGGATCACTCAAGCTCAGCTGGGCTCAGCAGCAAATTATCCCTTCATGGCGCTCCGAAGTTGAAGGCTGCTCCACGCCAGCCACAAATTTATCAACAGGCGATAAGAATTCAGAGGGAGCCTCACTACAGATTCGCGAATCTGGGAAGGGCCATCTGCCCAGCTTGCCCAGACTGAAAAGACGACATGTGGTGGAAAAGGTTCGAGGCGCGCACCATTATACCATCCAGTAGGTTTGCTTGAAATCTTGTTGTATGGTTGTGATGCACCGGAAAATCTGTTAGCTGAAGGCTTTCTCGCTCCTCGTGCTTCGTGCAACGTCAGCGCAAATCCGAATAAGGCCAGCGCTGTGCGGCAGGCACAGCGTGGCAGTGACGCTGACACCAGCACTACCCTGCCCTTTTTCACGAACCGCCTCTAAAAGAGTTGGTTGCGTTGACAATGGCAGCCTTTTCTAAACGATTTTTTTACCACACGTTACTGCCGCTCCAAACTCAGGCTAGGGAGGATAAGAAGAAGGCTCGGCACATGGCTTGTGGTTTGACAGAGAGCTGCAACGAGTTTGCTCGTGTGGTTGTGTTGACTGTTGTGTGGTTCAACGGAGGTCCGGTTTTAGCCTTGCTATCCAAGCCAAACTTCTCATTCCCGCAAAACTACCGCGCCTGAACCACAAATTTTCATGTGGCCAGAATTGTAGAACTCGCTGATTTTGGGGAGCGAGCGGCTCGAGGTCGGGATGTTGTGGACGCTGGGGTTTGAGAAAAGCGAAAAAGTACCCACTTCGTTGCCACGTCGGCTAAAGAATCATAGTGGATATTTCGCTTTTTCTCTGACCGCCCTATCTACCGTCAGATGCGGGATGTGTGCTCTGTTGCTTCATCTTAGCCGTTGTGGAGAGTTGTGGCTAGCACTGCCCGTCCCCCATTGCAACAAGCACATCTGCTTCGTTCGTTGTCAAGTCGATGTGGTGTTCCTGCTGCTCCGCTCCCCTCAACCAGCAGAACGGTTTCTCGGGAATATCCAGAGACACAGCAACGTCAGGAATATCTGTGGACAGAAGGCTTCACAGCAGAGCTTTCCTCACCCAAGGCTTACTGATTCTTTGAGTCTGTGATGCAATATGTACCTAGATTTTAGACGTTGAGATGTTTTTTTTTTCCTAAGAACATAGACAGTTTGGTAGCTTGAAGTCAGGACATGTTGGTGTTTGCAAGGCACTGTTACGTCGGCACCGCATTTTAAGCTTTGGAGCTATCACGATGAATATACCTCCAGCTCTCAACCTTCAGGTTCGTAGAGTCTTCTCAGATCTGTCAGGATCAAGATTTGTCTCAATGACCTAGAATGCGTTCGAGTAGACTCCGGATTTAGTTTCTTGCAGTAGTGTTGACCGTAGAATATTTGAAACCCGCGTGAACTGGCAAGAAGCCATTTAGGCGTCCTTACCTTCTAAGCAAGCACCACAAAGTAGGTTAAGAATGCACGAAGTGACGGTCGATGTGGTTCTTTAATGAACTCACTTAAACTCGTGACGTTACGCTTGTCGTTCTGTCCCGTCAGACATCCGCTTGGTCAGCTGGATGGACGGCTCGCTCATGCCAGAACACTCAACTGTCCCTTGTTTATATTTCAAACGCTGACCTCGCTACGTTTTTTCGTGTCGTCTGCATGTCGTCTTTTTCCAGAGTATGCAGGACGCAGCAGCTGCCGACACAAGCGCTGCGTATTGGAGAGCCGCAGCTGCAGCCGCTGCTGCCGCAGCTGCAGCGTCGTATCTTCCGCATGGACACGGCAACGCGCATGTGGCGTCCCAGGGGCCTGGTGGTGTGGGAATGGCCATGCACGCGCCCAACTTCCTCATGCCCCAAGCTTCCGCCAATCACATCCGGTCGCCGGCCCCGAACGCTATTGCTGCGGGGACCATGGCTGGCCTCGCCTTCTCCTCTTCCGCCGCCGCCGCTGCCGCCGCTGCGTCCGCTGGCGCGGCGATGATGCAGAACTCGCTGTCGATGCACGCGCGCTTCTTCCCGTCTCTCCACCCGCACGCGGGCCTGACGCAGCACCACCAGCTGCACCAGCTGCAGGCCGGGATTCCAGGCATGTCGACACCGCAGGTGGTGCTGGGCGCGCACTCTCAGGCATCCCTGCCGCACATGGGGCTGCTTCCCGCCCAGCAGATGGCCATGCACGGGCAGCCTGGCATGCTTCCTGGCCTGCCGCTCGCCTCCGATCCCAGCTATCTCGCGGCGCACCACCTGGCCCAGCAGCAACAGCAGCAGCAACTACAGCTGCAACACGAGCAGCAGCAACAACAGCAGCAAGTCGCGGCCCTGACTCCCGTTCCGCCTCCGCCTTCGGTTTTACTGGCAGGTGCGCACAAGGCGCACATGCAGGAGGCGCAGATCCAGAAGCAGCACGAAGCCCTTCCAGCGCAGCTGCAGCAGGTGCAAGGGTCGCAGCAGCAGGAGCAACAAGCAGGCGACGCCACTAAGGGCCCAGCAAACGGAGAGTGGGGCGGCAACGACGGCGACCTCGCAACCAAGGTATCTTTCGTCTATTTCCCTTTGTGCCTTGCTCTGTTGTGCGCCTTGCCGTATGCGAGGACTCACTAGTCTGCTCTCCGTGCCAATCGTTTGCAGTTTGTCATCCCCATGGGCAGTGCCTGTGCACTAGCTGGTTGCCCCCTGTCAGTTTACTAATCGCTTGCGTAGACTTCTCCTGCATGGTGATGGGTGAACTGGAACGGTGGTGCGTGGTGCGCAGGTGCGGAAGCCGTACACGATAACGAAGCAGAGGGAGCGGTGGACGGAGGACGAGCACAACAAGTTCGTGGAAGCGCTCAAGCTCTACGGCCGCGCGTGGCGCCGCATCGAAGGCAAGCCCTTGGGTGCCCTCGTCCCGTCCCAACCCAACTGCCTCCCTTCTCCCTCGTCTCTTGCCCTTGCCTTCCCCTTGCCGGGCCCGTGCACTTGACCTCGCCTTGCCCTCGCGTGCCCCTGGTGGCGCCGCATCTCAGCGTGTGTGCGTGCGTGCGTTGCCCCTTTCAGAGCACATCGGCAGCAAGACCGCCGTGCAGATCCGCAGTCACGCGCAGAAGTTCTTTACCAAGGTACGCCCGCCACCCGCCGCCCGCCGCCCATCGCCTTTCTTCCGCGTTCCACCTCCCGCCACCCACGCTGCTGTAGCACGTGCAGTAAGCGGTGGTCCTTTCCGCGCTCAATTCTTTTCTGTCACTTAGCTTTCCCCAGTGCTGCCATACCCAACGCGTTCCTCCGCTGTGCGCGCCCTTACTCGCAGCTGGAGCGCGACGGCACCTCCGCCGCCACGTCGCAGATGGACATCGAGATCCCACCGCCGCGCCCCAAGCGCAAGCCCGCGCACCCGTACCCGCGGAAGGCGGGCTCCGCCAGCAGCTCGCAGCCGCAGGCGCCACAGCGGCAGAACAGCCAGCACAGCCTGTCCAAGGCGCTGCAGCAGCCGTCACCGCCGCTGCTGCCCCCTCCTCCCCCCCCTCCTAAGGCTCTTCTCCCCTGCATGAAGCAGCTCCAGCTGCCACAGCCGCCACCGCCGCCGCCTCAACCGAAGCATCGTGTGCAGCCGAACCAAGCGGCAGCAGCGCAGCAGCAGGCGGTAGCGCGAGAGAAGGGTAAGCACAAGGCCCGGCAGGCAACCTCCCAGCAGCGCGCCGAGGCAGAGGAATCAGAGCCGCAGCAGCAGCGGTCGAGCAGGCAGGTGTCGCAGGGGCTGAGCTCGCAGCGCACGCAGTCGCAGACGTCGCGCTCCGCGCTGCCCGTGTCGTCCGACCAGTCGTGCGGCAACCAGCGCGCCGACGATGGCCTCGACTCCAAGTACGTCTCGCCAGTCCCCGCCACCGCCGCCGCACCGCAGAGCTACGTCAAGGCGGAGGCCCATGCGCTGCCCGCCGTCGTCACCTCCCCCTCGCTGCTCGCCCCTCAGCGCGACGCTGCTCGTGGCGACGCGTGCGGGTCGCCGTACTCGTCGCCGCCAACGGAGGGCGACAGCGGCGCGCGGCAGTCGCCCGACCAGCGCAGCACGCTGAAGCTGTTCGGCAAGACACTCGCCACTCCCCCCGCCATGCCGCCCCCGCCCCCACCCCCGGCTGTGCCATTAGCAACCTTGCCTCCCCCCGCTGCCCAAAGCACCAACCCTCTCGCCATTGCACCGGGTGCCGCTGTTGCTGCACCTGCAGCCTCGGCGTCTCCCGGCGGCAGCCCTGCGCGCTCGCCGCCGCTCCACCCGCCGCTGCTCTCCCTTGCAACACACCCCGCCGATCTTGCGCCGCCCTCTGGCGTGCAGCACAGGCGCCTCAAGCACTCGGCGGAGGAAGGTGGCGCAGGGGACACACAAAAGGCGGAATACAAGGAGCAAGAAGAGGAGGATGAGGAGGAGAAGGAGGAAGAGGAGGACGGGGAGGAGGAGGATGAGGGGGAGGAGGAGGCGGATGAGCGTGCGCCGATGGTGACGCGGTCGCTGTCCCTTCCAGAGCCTCCAAGTGCTGCGGGCCTCGCGGAGGACTCGCAGGGGCTGTGCCTCTCAGAGAGGCCGCACGCCGCACCATCGGCGCACGGGGAGCGGATGGCGGAGACAGGCGCAAGAGGCTGCGCGGAGCACCGGGGAATAGCGGCAGCGCAGCGCGCAATGCGGTCGTTGAGCGTGACGGGGCACGACGTGTCCACGTCAGCGTGCGGAAGCTTCTCAGAGCGCTCCGTAGTGCTCGAGTCGGGCCTCTCCGTCGAGCCCCTCCCTGCCGCCGCTCCGCTGCCGCCGCCCGCGCCGCAGCGCGCGGACCGCGGAGGAGCAGCACCGGCAACGGCAGCAGACGCGCACCCGATGGCAGTGGGCGGTCCGCGCAATGCTGCGTACGCCGCTCCCGGCCCCGTTGCTGGGGCCCACGGCCACGCGGAGGGCGGCGATGCAGTGCGCGCTGCTGCTGCAGCCACGGGAGCAAGCCTGCCGTACATGAACCAGCTATTCGCGTTCCCCGCCGCCCCTCCCGCCCTCAACCCCACTACCAACGCAGCAGCAGCCACAGCCGCAGCAGGCACAGCAGGTGGAGCAGCAGGCGCAGGTGCGGGCGGTGCTGCCAATGCGGGGCTGAGTCCAGCGCAGGTGGAGAAGACGGCGGGTCCCGTAGAGGTGGGAAGAGGAGAGGGGGAAGCAGGAGCGGCAGCAGGCGAGGCGAATGAAGGGGCAGGCGGGGCACCCATGGACGGTGGTGTGGCGAGTCCCACGCACGTGGTGTCAGGACCAGGCGTGGCCATGGCGACGCAGTGGTCGCCATCTCTCATGTCATCCATGGCCGGCCTCTCCATGCTCAACGCTGCCGCTGCCGCCGCCGCTGCATCTGCTGCCTCTGCCGCTGGTGCAACCACTGCCGCCGCTCCCCATCGCCCCCCTTTGACTACGCCGCTGCCGCTGCCGCCGCAGCCGCTGCTGCTTCAGCGCGCGGGTCTACCACTTTCCAAGAAGCAGCCGCATCGGCTCAGATGGCCGCAGCTGCTGCAATGGGCCTGCAGTTTCCCGGTTGCTTCATGCCAGGGGGCGAGGAGGCGGTGCAGCAGCAGCAGATGCTGTTCCCGGCGCCCTTCCCCTTCGTCGACTTCCACTCGCCTGGCTTCCACCCCATGCACCACCCGGGCTACCTGCTCTCGCCCTACCGCGCACCTGTTCCACACCCGCACTCGGCAGCGGCGTTCCAGACGTTTGACTCGTACCTGCGCATCTACGGCCCCGCCTTCGCCTCCATGGGCGCCTCCTCCTTCGCCGCCTGGCACGCCCCCCGTGCGCAACAGCAGCAACCGGGCCCTCCGCAGCTGCTGCCTGGTACTCACAGTGCTGCGGCTGCCGCCACTGCGGCTGCGTCTGCTGGTCTGTGGGCGAATCTGCCTGGTATGGCAGCAGGCTCTGCGCCGCTCCTCGCACCTCCAGCGCCAGCAGGTGGGCCGGGGAGCCCTGCCAAGGCTGTGGAAGCAGGGACGGCAGGCGCCACAGGAGCAGTTGCACCTGCACCTGCAATGACACCTGCTGCCGGAGCAGGAACGAGCGCTGCTGCTGCTGCTGCTGCTGCTGCCGCTGTCCCGGTTGCCGCCAGCGCCACCCCAGTGGATGCACAACTCGCGTCGCCGCCAGCGCCCCCGCGCACGCTGTCCGCGGGCGACGACCCCGCAGCAGCCGCAATGGCCGTGACCATGGCGGCGGCGTCCGCGTGGTGGGCGCTGCAGGGCTCCATGCCGCCAGGCGTGTTCCTCCCCATGTCGCCCGCGCAGGCCTTCCGCCCCCCCTTCAACGCCATTCCCCCTCTCCCTGCTGGCGCCGCGGCCGCCGCTGCGATGCAGATTGGGTGGCCGGGCGCAGGGGAGGGGGAAGCAGGAGGGAACGGGGAAGGCACAGGGACGGACGCGGCAGGTGCGCCTGGTGGTGGTCCTGGTGGCGCTGCTGCCGCTGCGGAGGCGGGCTTTGCCAATGCCACGTTTGCAGCACCCGAGCAGCAGCAACAGCAGCTGCAGGAGCAAGAGCAGCAGCAGTGTGAGATGGGGGGAGCGGTGGAGACAGGGGATGACGGCGGCGAGGGGTCGTCGGGCAAGGCGATTCCCGAGGGCGCGCAGGGCAAGGCGGAGGCCAACGACACCGCGTACAGCGCGTCGCAGAGCCAGGGCGGCGACGACGCCCTCGGAGACAACGACGGTGACGATGCGCGCGCGGAGGAGGAGGAAGAGGAGGAGGAGGAGGTGGGCGGAGAGGTGGGCGAGGGGGATGAAGAGGAGGGGTTCGTGGCGCTGGTGAGGAGCAGCGAGGTGGAGGTGCAGGAGGAGCTGCGCCTCATGGCCAGCGAGCGAGAGGCGCTCGCCGCCATGCTGCAAGGCGTCAACGCTGACGTGGATGCCGACGTGGATGCCGACGTTGATGCTGACGCAGATGCTGACGTGGACGTTCAGGAGTCTCAGCAGACGGTGGTGGGTTCGTCGGCGCCGACAGGAGCCAGCAAGGCGCTGGACTCGAGCATGGGCGCGGCGCAGGGCGGGCGGCGGGCGTCGTGGCACGGGCAGGGGCAGGGGGGCGTGCAGGTGGAGAGGGAGGCAGGCAAGGCGCGGAGTGCCGGGGATGCGAGGCCGCTCGCTCATGGCCACCGGTCGCAGCAGCACGTGGCGCAGCACAGGGGCGGGGCAGGCGGCAGCGAGGGCGGGCAGGGCAGGAGTCCTGGAGAGGGCGGCATGGGGCCGTGCACTGACTCGTCGCCCTCTGTGTGGGCCTCCAACTCCACCCCTCCCCACCACGCCCACGCCCACGCCCACGCCCACGCGCCCAGACACACTGCCAACGGTCATGGAGGGCATGGGCACACGGCTCAGAAGGAGGCGCAGAGGAGGCCGAGCGACGTGCAGAATGGCGTGCATGATGTGGCACTGGCAGTGGGCGAGCACCAGCGTGGCAGCAACGACGCCCGCTGCTCCGCTCCCCTGCTCCCACGCAGCCCTCCCGCTACTGCCGCTGCTGCTGCTGCGGCCGCTCCACGGCCGTTTGGCTTGCCTGCCAGTCCCACTGACAAGCACCCTGGTGGTGCGGGCGGTGCTGCTGTGAATGCTGCCACTGCCATGGCTGGTGGTGCTGCTGCTGCTGTGTCGAAGCAGGAGAAGTGGAGACTGCCTCGCGAACGGGGGCGTGCAGGACATGCACAGGCGCACGAGCATGCACACGCACCCACGCACAACCATGCCCATGCGCATGGACAAGCTCATGCGGAGCGCAGAGGGCTAAACGCGAGTGGCACAGCGGCGGCAGCAGCAGCGGGTGCGGCGGTGGCGGACAAGAGGGAGCAGTCGAACCTGATCCGCAAGCTGCGCTCGCTCGAGAAGTTCAAGGTCCGCCACGCCAGCGCTGCCGCCCCCACTGCCGCCACTGCCGCCGCCAGCGCCACCGGCGCTGCGACTGCAGCGGCTGACGAGGCGAGTGCGAAGATGAGCGCGTGCGGGCCCGGTGTGGGCGGAGAAGGTGCGGGGTCCGGCGGGGGGGAGGGCAGCGGCGGGGAAGGGAACGAGGGGGGCACTGATGGGCTTGGCGAAGGAGGAGAGGGGAGAGTTGCTGGTGTGGAAGGCGATGGGGCGAAAGCAGGGGGGGGCGAGAGAGCGGGAGGGAAGGAGGGCGTGGGCATGGCGGGGGAGAACGAGGGGCCGCGGAGAAAGCGCCTGCGTGGACACTCCGTCAGCGGCAGCAACACGCCACCTCCCACTACCAGACAAACTCTGCCCTCCGGAGACATGCCTGTGCCGGCCGAAGGCGGCGCAGGGGAGGCAGCAGTGGCGGGAGAGGGAGCAGAGCAGCAAGGGGACGTGCGCGCCACCCCGTCGTCCTCAGGCAGTCGCGGGCAGAACGGCAACGGCGGGGGCAGTGGCAGCGGCACGAAGCACGAGGGCGGAGGGGGGCCCGAGGGGTCAGGGGAGAACGGGCCGAGCTCCAACTCGTCTGAATGCGGCAACGAGGCCGGCAGAGAGCGGCTGGGCGGGTCCAGTGATGGTGGCACGAGTGAGCGCGAGGCGTGCAAGCGGCGCGAGCGAGACGAGTCTGAGGAGGGTGCCACGGCCAAGAGCGCTGTGAAACGACTGCCTGGCGGCGAGGCGGGCGGTGAGAGCGATGGGAAGGACGAGGATGGGAAAGAGGAGGAGGTGAATGCAGAACGTGGCGAGGAGGGAGAGAAGGAGGATGAGAACAACGAAGAGGCAGATGCTGGTGGGCAAGGGATGGAGGCGGAGAGGGCAGAGGAAGAGGGGAAGGCGAAAGAGATGGAGAGGGGTGGTGCGATTGAGGAGAGGAGCGCCAAGCGCAGCAAGGTGGTGGCAGGACGGGGTGCAGGCGACGAGGGGTGCTCCCGAGTGGTGGGTGGGGTGCCGCAGAGCAGCAGTGCGCCCACTGCTGGCAGCAGGTCGCACACGCCCCTCAGCCTCTCCACCCCGCATGCCCTGCTGCTCAGGCTGGACGCCTGTCATGCAGGTGCGCGTGCCGAGGGCCAGCAGCACAAGGAGGGCGGCGGCGACACCAACGCTGCTGACGGGCTGGAGCAGCTGCAGCTGCTGGGGAAGAAGCGCGTTGGGGCAGCGAGAGGTGCAAGCGGTGGTGGGCGCAAGGGCGAGGAGGGCGAGGAGGGGTCGGCAAATGAAGCAAGAGGCAGTGCTGCTCGGCCTGGGCGCACAGAGACGTCTCAAGTGGTGGGCGCTGGCAGGCGCGACCTCAGAGGCGACGGCCAGTCCGTCTTCCGACCGCTGCCCACCCTCCCCCCCAAGGTGACGCCCCCACATGCCCCCCCTCGCCTCCTCCCCCCTCCCCCCTCCAAACCTGCGCCCCCACTTGCATGTGGGGTCGCCCAGGCGGAAGGCCCTCAGCCGGTTGCCGCTGCTGCTGGCGCTGGCGCTGGTGGTGGTGGTTGTGATGGTGATGACGGTGGTGGTGAGGCCGTGAAGGGACAGGAGGGAGATGAGGCACGTGCGGCGGTGAGAGAAGAGGGGGAGGTCGGAGGGCAGAGGGAGCAAGGAGCGGTGAGACAGCAGCGGAGAGGCAAGGAGAAGCGCGCATCGAGTGGTGGGGAGGCGGTGCGACAGGATAGTCGCAAGCATGAGAGGGACGAGAGTAGGGAGGGAGAGGAGTGGATGACAGACAGGAAGCAGCAGCACGTGCATCAGCACCAGCACCAGCACCAACACCAACACCAACACCAGCAGCAGCAGCAGCCGACGAGCAGCGGCGCGGCATCGCTGCTAGCAGGCATGCGCATCGTGGGACCGTCCCTGCCCATGCCGTCGTCCCCCACGGGCGACCCATCATCGAGCAACAGTGGGGGAGCGGGCGTGCACCACCACTTTCACTACCACTACCACAGCGCCGGCAGCAGCGCCAAGCACCGCGCTGCCTCCTCGTCCAAGCAACCCACCACGGTTGCTGTTGCTGCTGCTGCTGCCATCGCAGCTGCTGCTAAGGTCGAAGCCGTTGCCTCTGCTGCTGCCCCACCTGCCGCCCTTAGCGCTCCCTCAGGCCCGGAAACCCCGAGCCTGAGGTCCGGTGAGGGTGGGGAGGAGTATGGGGGGATGGTGCAGTGCAGTAAGGGGGAGAGCAGTGATGGGGGGGAAGGAGAGGGGAGGGAGGCCGGGGGTGGAGGAAGGGGAGGGGAGAGCGGTGGTGGCGAGGACGATGCGATGGGTGATGAAGAGAGAAGAACAGCTGCCTTGCTGAAGGTGTGCCCCATGTGCCGCTTCCCCTTCATTCTCTCCCGCCCCTCTCTATCGTTCCCTTCTCCAACGTCTCATGCCCGTCAAATCTCTCCCTTCCACTCATCTATCCTCTTCCCTCCTCCCCTGCTCCCGCTTCCCCTTGTGTGCCCTCTCAGGCTGACACACGGCACCCATGGAACACAAAGGGCGCTGCAGGTGTGGAGGTGCAGCGCAGGGAGCAAGGGCCTAGCGTCATATCGGCGCGGTTGGTGCACAGTGTGGGCGGTGACGGGGCGAACAAGCACAGCGAGTGGCAGCGGGGGCGGAAGCAGAACAGCCACCGCTTCCAGCCATACAGCCCCCGCAGGGAGCGCACCGAGCACCGCAGTGCCCCTGCCCATGGCGCCACTGCTTCTGGCCCACCCCCCACTGAGGCCAAGGGTGACGTGGGGGAAGGGGAGGGCAAGCACATGCAGCAGACCTGACTGATGGTGCTGTGGGATTAGATGGTGAAATCGGATGGGATGGGAATGGGATGGGGAAGATCAAGAGAGGTGGGTAATTGCAGGCCTGAATGTGTGTGTGCAAGTATGTGTGTGTCTAATTCCTTGATAGGATGTTCACGTAAAGGTTGCCTGTTTTGATGTACCACCATGTGCAGGCTACCAACCATTTAGGCTAATGTAGCATGTGTGATAATACATTTTTATTAATCTTGTGTGTCTTTTTCTAATATAATGCTGGCCATAAAACCATCATCTCATGCCATGCAGTGGTCTTGCTGCTGGATAGACTGCACACAGCTTCAGCAGTGAACCTCGTGCTGTGAGTAACCAGACATTGGATACACGGCTGAGTCACATCATACAGTGACAAATGAAGGAATAGAGAGACAGCTTCAAGGGACGTCTCCAGTGTCTTGTGGCAAAACCACCTCCTCAGCTGCAGCCACGGGCCGGTGCACATAGTGCGCAAGGAACTCAACGTTGCCATCCGTGCCTGTTATCGGTGACGTCATCACCCCCTGCAGCTCCATCCCATACTCCTCTATACCGCGTGTCACCCTTTCAAGCACCTGCAGGCATCAACATGCACGAAGCAACACTGAAGCACGAAGCGAAAAAAAGAGGGCAGAACTAAAGTGGAAAAAGAGGAGCACAGCAAACATTCTGGAGTCAACACAACACATGGCACGCATGAAGGCGGTGTGATGAGGTGCACATGCAGAGCGCTGACGCCCGTGCTGAGGTTGCTAGGGCTAGGGCTGGCTGCCACGCACCTCCTGTCGGACGGCCTCGCTGCGCACGATGCCCCCGCCGCCCACCTGCCCCCGCCTGGCCTCAAACTGTGGTTTGACAAGCACTATGAGGTGCGCCCCTGGCTTCATCACCCCCACCACCGCTGGCATCACCTGCCATGCCATGGGACACACGGCAGGCGGATGAGGGTGGATGCTGAAGAGTGATGAATGGTGTGGTGAACGACAGGGCTGGGGAAGTGAGCAGAGAGCAGGGAGGCAAACCAGGAGGTGGTGACATGGGAGAGCATGGAGATGAAAGAGAGAAGGAGGATGGTGGGGGGTGATGGGGAAGAGAGCAGGGAGCAGAGCGCAGGGGGCGTACGAGGAGGACGGAGATGAAGGAGAGGTCGAGGGTAACCACATCCACTTTCTCAGGCAAATTAGAGGGCGACAGGTGGCGCAGGTTGGTTCGCTCCATGACCACCACCCTCGGATCGATTCGGATGCGCTCACTCACCTGCCACCCACGTGCACACTCACGCACACACATCAACACACCCACACACGAGATGCAGGCACGGACACACACACATGCGCATGAGAGGGGGACCGCAGCAAAGCAGTGAATGTCAAAGACCAGAGGTGCGTGAAATCACTCACTAACAATCCACTTGCCCTCACCCCACCTGGCCGTACCCCACCTGGCCGTACCCCACCTGGCCGTACCCCACATCGACGCCGTACACGCGTGCAGCACCGTGCTGCAGCAGGCAGTCCGTGAAGCCCCCCGTTGACAGCCCCGCGTCCAGCGCCACCGCCCCCTCCACCGCCACCCCCCACTGCTGCAGCGCGCCCTCCAGCTTGTACCCCGCCCTGGGGGCAAGGGGTGGGGAGGGAGGGGATGGGGGGAAGGAAGGGAGGGGGAGGGGGTGCATGAGGGGGGTGCGTTGAGGCAAATGGAATGTGGTTCCAGCGCCACCGCCCCTGCCACGCCCACGCCGAATTGCTGCAGCGCGCCCTCCAGCTTGTACCCCGCCCTGGGGGGAGGGGACAAGAAGAAGGGGGGTGGGGAGAGGAGAGATGGGGAGGGGGCCAGGGAGGAGAGAGGGGGTATGAGGGAGCGCTTTCAAGGGAATGGAGTGCGGTGCAGTTGACTTACAACGTGCTGGCTGCACAGTGAGCATGGAACGCTGCAAGGCATGAAGGTATGAAGCTGGAGGAGTGGTGTGGTGCGGTTGGCAGGAGAAAGAGCGGAGTGACGCCAGCAGGGGGGGAGGGGGGGAAGGGGGGGGGGCTGACCTGCAGACGTATTTGGGCACGCGAGCCTTGATGATGACGTCAGCGTGCTCTGACACCTGCGCGCCCGCCTTGGTGACCGGATGCCCCTCCACCAGCACCTTGCCTGCCCGGGCAGGGGGGAAGGGGGGAAGAGGGGAAGGGGGGAAGGGGGAGAAGGGAGCGTTGTAGGGAAGGAACGAGGCAGTGAAACGGGAGCGAGGGAGAGGGCGGTTGTGAGAGAATGGGACTGAAGGAGGGGACTGTGGGATGGGACTGTGGGTCCTGGGCGGGGAAAGAACGCAGTTGGGTGGGGGAAGAACGCAGCTGGGTGGTGTGGGATGGGACAGTGGGATGCGGGGAGGAACTACGGAGGAATGCAGAATGAATGGACTTTTGCCCCCCAACTTGCAGGATCCACGAGCGCACCTTGGACAATAGAATCCCACCGCCTGCCAATGATCTGACCTTGCAGGATCCACGAGCGCACTTGGCTGCGGCTGTACTGCGTCCATCGCGCCACGCACAACTCGTCCAGCCGCACCCGCTTCCCCCGCCTCCGCGCCCCGCCCTTCCCGCCTCCCGTTCCGCCGCCTTGGCTCCGCCCAACCTCCGCCTCCGCGCCGCTACCCGCGCCAGCATCCCCGCCTTGGCGCAATGCTGCTGCTTCCGCGAGGACTGGCGGATCTCCTCGCGCCTCCCCTCGGCCCACCTCCTCTCCCCCACTCTTCCCCTTCCCTACTTCGTCCCCCGCTGCCTCCGCACCTCCGCTCACCGCCAACGCCCCTCCATCTGCCCCCGCCCGCGGAATCTCTACATTTTGACTCCGCCTGCCTTCCGCGGCTTGCCCCTCTGCGGAAGAGAAACTGCGGCAAGCCGCGCGTGGGAGGATCGCGAGGCGGAGATTTGGCGGAGGAATGGGGGAGCGCGGAGCAGACGAGAGCGATACGCGGAGCGTGAATGGACGACTCGCGGCGGTAACGGGCGGAAGATGAAGAACAGGCGGCATGGGCGATGGGAGGACGTATCTACTGGGATGGTGCCACGTGTGCTGCTGACGATGGATGGGGAGGCTGATTAGGCGATGACACGTGTGCCACGCCGAGTGGAAGCGGGAGAGGAGCGCCTCGCGAATGGCGAGAGAATGGGGGGCCGCGGCGAGATATTGGGAGCGAACTAATAGCACCATGACACGTCACAAGGAAGGGAGGTAGCAATCCCGCCGTCGTTGTTGCGAGGGGATGTGAAGGAACGCTAATTGGAAGGGTTGGTGGTGTCGCGCAATTGCGCACGTTTTACACCAACAGTGTTCCCCGTAAAAAGGAAACGAGAGTACAGCGGGAAATTTTGTAGCGAGTACAGAGCAAGGGACAAACACAGATTCGAATTTCCTGGAGATCCCTCTTCCACAAATTCGCCCCAACGCGCATCCTCTCAACCGCCAATACCATCCAATTCAACCCAATCCCTAGATTCACCACATCCACCTTGCGCGGTTCCACATGCTCTGCTTCCTCGGCAAGTCGCTTTTGCCTCCCCGCGCACTAGCACCGCAGGTTCCCCCTCTCGCCTCCACAGCCTCCCGTTGCGCCTCCTTCCGAAGAGCAATCGTCGCTCCTCCGTCGTCCACGCGTCTCCGGCGACCAGTGCGACTCATGGCGACCGCAGCGCCGCCATCGGTGCCGGCTATCCGTCTGTCGAGCGGCTACGACATGCCGGTGGTGGGGATGGGCGTGTGGCGCGCCGACAAGGGCAGGCTCGGCGCGCTTATCAAGGAAGCGGTGGCGCTTGGTTACCGCCACTTTGACTGCGCGGGTGCGTGCGTGACGCGCTGCTGGGGGGGGCTTACCGCGCGAGGATGGTGCGCTACAGGCCGGCTCAGCGCGCTACAACCTCGCTCAACGGAGTACATTCCTGCTTTCTCAATCCCCGTTCCAAGCCGCACCTTGCCTCCTTCGCCCTTACCTGCCCTGCCCTATTCTTCTCATTCCCCCTCAATTCCCCTCTCCCCCGCGCCAGCGGACTACGGCAACGAGGCGGAGGTGGGGGAGGCGCTATCCGCGGTGCTGGAGGCGGGCGCGGTGAGGCGAGAGGAGCTGTTCATCACGAGCAAGCTGTGGAACAGCGACCACGCGCACGTGCGTGCAGCGTGCGAACAGTCCCTAAAAGATCTGCGGCTGGAATACCTGGACCTGTACCTCGTGCACTTCCCCATCGCCACCAAACACACCGGTCCGTCTGTTGCCCTGCCCCGCGCACGCGAGGGTGAATTGTTGAGTCGCGTGGTGGGCAGAGCTGGGGCGGGTCGCGGGAGGAGGAGAGGGAGGGGGAGTTTGCTAGGCGGAAGGGCAGCGGGGAACGGGACGGAGAATGGAGGACGGAGAGGGCAGTGTGTGAGGGTAAAGAGCTGCGTGAGTGAGAGGACGGGGGAGTCCAGAAGTGAGTGCGGCTTGCTGCAACCCAACCATGGCCCTGTTCTCAATCTCTTGCATCTTTACGTGGGTGGCATGGAATCGCGTGGAACGGCATGGCATGGCATGGCATGGCATGGCATGTGGTGGCATGGCATGGCATGGCATGGCAGGCATAGGCAGCACGAGCAGTGCGATGGGGTCGGATGGCATGTTGGACATAGACATCACAGTGCCGCTGCATGAGGTGTGGCGCCACATGGAGGCACTCGTTAAGGATGGCCTTGTGCGCTCCATCGGCATCAGGTGGGCTCCATCGGCATCAGGTGGGCTCCATCGGCATCAGGTGGGCATGGGTGTGCATGGATGTGCCACATGCGGCACTGCATGCCATCAACAGAAATCGAAGCCCTGCTGTTTTACCATCTCTCTCCCTTTCTTCCATCCCTATCCCATTCTTCCTCTTCTTCCCGCCTGCTGCTTCTCCCCATTCAAACCTTCTCCCCCACTCCATCCCCTCCTCCTCCGATCTCCTCCCCTTCGCAGTAATCCCCTCTGCAACCATTGTTGACCCCCCCCACAGCAACTACGATGTGTACCTGACGCGGGACTGTCTGGCGTACAGCAGCAGTGTGAGGCCGGCAGTGAACCAGGTGGAGACGCACCCCTACTTCCACCGCGCCTCGCTGCTGCGCTTCTGCGCCAAGCACGGCGTCACCCTCACCGCCCACACGCCCCTGGGTGGCGGCGCTGCCAACGAGGAGCTCTTCAAGTCCAAGTCGCCGCTCTCCGACCCCGTCGTGCTCGTGCGCTCCCTTTCACGGATTCTTGCACCATGCCTTTCTTGCTGCAGCTTCGTTCATTCCTGAATTTTTTTTCATCGTATCCGTATCAGGTGCTGCTCCTGCTGCTCTGGGCTTATTTGCTGCTTGGTCGTTCCTATGTGTGTTGTGGTTTCGTGCTCAGGAGCTGGCTGCGAAGCACAGCAGGACGGCAGCGCAGGTGGTGCTGCGGTGGGGCGTGCAGCGCAACACGGTGGTGATACCCAAGTCCAACCGAGTGGAGCGCCTGGCGGAGAACATCGCCATCTTTGACTTTGAGCTCGACGCTGGCGACATGGCCAGGATGGAGGCCCTTGATGCCAAGGCTAGGAGCAACAACCCGGCTCCGTTTTGGGGCATCGATTTGTATGCCTAGGAAGAACAATACCATACGTTTTGTGTGTTCAAGCTTTGCTAGGGTACCTTTTGGCTTGCAGTCCAACTTCTGGTCAGGTTACTGGAGGCCCCACTTCTGGTCGGCGATCGTGACCAGGCAGCTGCCACGCCCTCATTTGGGCTTAGCAACTCCTATGTGGCATCACTGTTTGTGTGTCAGCCAAGGCAGCAGGTTGGGGTGGGAGGTGCAGGTGAGAGCAGGAGAGGTGGAGAGGGCAAGTGTATGGGGAAGCCTGATGGCATGGTGGGGACTAGGCAGTGGACTCATAAACCCCCGGCAGCACCAGTAGGCCTATATGCACACCTTCCCGCCACCACCCCTTCCTGTACCTGCAGAGGCGGGTGGAGGAAGATGGGCAATTTAACAAACAACATGGCAATGTTAGTAGTGGCTCTTGGTAACTGATCTGATATTGCTCTGCGATGTTACGGTAGTCATGAGTTGTGATCCGAATATGTGTGTGACAGAATCTAATGGCAGGGCAACTAGCACCCGTACCATTCATTTCTTCTTCTGTTTAGTTCCCGTATTTCCCCATTTTCCCAATCACCAGCCTAGTCGTCTCTTTGAGCTGTAGTAGTTTTCTAGGTTGTCCAATCGAATCTATCCGCGATATCAGGCTTTAGGCTGGACCCCTTTCCGATCAGTTTAGGCGAAGCCTGCATTGGCCCAATACTGGCATTCGTCAGCACGTTCAGTGACGTCAGTTGTGAATATCTCCGAGATCGATGGCTGTTTTCGGTCCTGATAGATCCAATGTGGCGAGGTGAACCTCGCTAAAAGGGCGTCTCGGTAGCACCAGTGATATTCCGTCCTCCACCTCGTACTCCCCATATAAGTGCTGCTTGATTTCCATTCACAATTGCACACATTCAAAGGCCTTTCGCCTTGGCTTTCGCCTTCGACTGGTCTCATTTCCCCTCTCTCCCCCTGTTCCGCGCGCATCTCTCCCACTCCGCAAAGCGAGCCAGCGTTGTCGTCATCCCCTAATCTGCGCGCACCGCTACATCGACGTCCAGATGGAGACCATCGGAGCGTCCGCTCTGCGCTCCCCCGCGCTCTCGCCCGCGAAAGCGCAGGAGATCAGCTCGCGCGCCTTCCGCGCCGCCCAGCCCGTTGCCGCGCCCGTCGCTCGACCTCGCTGCGGCGCCAGAACCGCCGCATTGCGCGGGCTGGGCGTGCGGGCAGAGAGCGGCGCTACGGAGACTGAGAGCTCCGCGACGGCGGCGGACGGTGAGGGGAAGGCGCTGAACCGATGGAGTTCGCGAATCACGCAGCCCAAGTCGCAGGGCGCGTCGCAGGCGATGCTGTACGGCGTGGGGCTCACCGAGGCCGACATGCACAAGGCGCAGGTGCGCGCGCGGGGGAGTCGGGCGAGGGAGGGGGGGGAGGAATGAGTGTGGGGGAGCTTGGGGAGGATGACGTGGGCGAGGCGCAGGGAGGGAGAGTGAAGGAGGAGAAGATGGTAGATGAGAGCGAAGGGGTGGGAAAGACGAGGAACATGAAGAAATGGAGTGGCTCGTGGCATCGTTCCTAAAACCCCGCTTGTCCCCCGCTCGAATTTGCCTGCAAGATTCGTTCTTTGAAACGGGCTGCTGTATTCGCGATGCGCCACCCCTTACTCCCTGAGCGCCGCGTAATGCCGGCCTAAATAACCCGCATTGTGCCCCATCGCGATCCCCATTCCCCTCCCCTCTCCCCTCACCCCGCTTCCCGCGCGTGGCGGCAGGTGGGGATCTCGTCGGTGTGGTACGAGGGCAACACGTGCAACATGCACCTGCTGCAGCTCGCTGAGGCCGTGAAGAGCGGCGTGACGGACGCGGGGCTGGTGGGGTTCCGGTTCAACACGATCGGCGTGAGCGACGGCATCTCCATGGGCACGGACGGCATGAGCTACAGCCTGCAGTCGCGCGACCTCATCGCGGATAGCATTGAGACGGTCATGGCGGCGCAGTGGTACGACGCCAACATCTCCATCCCCGGCTGCGATAAAAACGTCAGTTGCGCGCGAGGGGGAGGGGGCCGGGGGAGGGAGAAACGTCAGTTGCGCCGGGGGGAAGGTGGGGGGGGGATAAAGACGTGCGTTGCGCGGGGGGACAGGGCGGGGTGATGAGAATTTGACGGGCATGGGGGTGATGGTCATGGCGGCGCGGTGATACGACGCCAACATCTCCATCCCCGGCTGCGATAAAAACGTGCGTCGCAAGACGGGGCGGTTTGCTGCGCGGATTGACGGGCACTTGAGGGGCAAGTGGGCGGGAGGGATATGGCAAGAAGAAGATGGGGAATGTGGGCCAGGATGATTGATGCAGTTTAGTGCGGCGCAATGCGGTGCTCCCATGCGTTATGGCCTCATGTGATGTGCCCTGTTCTTGCACCCATGTCCTCCTGCCATGTCCTCCTGCCATGTCCTCCTGCCATGTCCTCCTGCCATGTCCTCCTGCCATGTCCTCATGCCATGTCCTCATGCCATGTCCTCATGCCATGCGTGCCCCCATCAGATGCCTGGCACGGTGATGGCAATGGCGAGGCTCAACCGACCAGCCATCATGATCTATGGCGGCACCATCAAGGTGGGACGAGTCATGCATGCTTGCGGCAGAGCCAAGGCACTGGTCTGGTCAATTCGGGCTATCGTTTTCATTCTCTGCAACATGAGTAATGCGCCCAACCCCCCTCACTGTCTGTCATTCTCATCCCCCATCTCCACCTCATCCCTCGAAATCCCTTTCGCTAAGCCTTTCCCCCTTTCCCTGCTTCTGAACCCCCCTTTCCCATGCCCCGCACCACCACACACCACCACTTCCAGCCGGGGCATTTCGAAGGAGCCACTCTCGACATCGTCAATGCCTTCCAGGTACGCCCGCCCGCCCTCCCTCTCCCTCGCCCTCCCTCTCCCTCGCCCTCCCTCTCCCCTCTTTCCCTCTGCTCTCATGCTGAGTTAGCCCGCCCTTGCGTGTCTCACCCCTCTCCCCTCCTCTTCTCCCTCTCTCTGTATCCCTACCGTCCCCCTCCACCCCTCCACAGAGCTACGGCGAGTACGTGGCGGGGAGGATAACGGAGGAGGAGAGGCAGCAGGTGGTGCGCCACTCGTGTCCGGGGCAGGGCGCGTGTGGAGGCATGTACACCGCCAACACCATGGCCTCCGCCATTGAGGCGCTGGGGCTCACACTGCCCTACAGGTGTGCCTCGCATTCCTCTCCCTTCCCTCCCTTCTTTCCTTCTCGTCCTTCCCTCCCTCCCTTTGCTGCCTCCCAACTCCGCCATCCCTTCGCAAAGCCCTCCCCCTCCCCCTCCCCCTCCTCACTCATCGCTCCCCCATTCTTCCCCTCCCCTCCTTCTCCCCTTGGCCCACATCCCGCACTCCCCCTCAGCTCCTCCATCCCAGCGGAGGACCCCTTGAAGCTGGACGAGTGTCGCCTGGCGGGGGCGGCCATCAAGCGGCTGTTGGAGCTGGACGTGAAGCCGCGGGACATCATCACGCGGGAATCGCTGGAAAACGCCATCACCACCGTCATTGCTCTGGGGGGCTCAACTAACGCCGTGCTGCACCTCATCGCCATCGCCAGGTGTGTGAGAGGGTTCCGCAACTGCACCTCATTGTCTCCGTGCTGTCATCTGCGTCACTCTCTTGTTTGATGGCTTTCACACCCTCACCGCCTCTGTACCCCTCATACCTCTCCTCTCTACACCCTCTGACTCCTCTCAACTCCCTCCCCCCCCCAATCTCTCCCCCGCGTGCAGCACGTTGGGGCTCAACGTGACGCTGGACGACTTGCAGGCCATGAGCAATCATTTAGGAGAGGCCACAACATGGGCACCTCACCTCATGCTCTCCTCTGCGCCCCCTCTCCTCCCCCTCTTCCCCCCCTTACCCGCGTGCAGGGCGGTGGGGCTGAACCTAACACTGGACGACTTCCAGGCCATCAGTGACCGCGTGCCGTTCATTGCTGACCTCAAGCCCAGCGGCAAATACGTCATGGAGGACGTGCACAAGGTCGGTGGGTGCACTACTGTGCACAGCTGATAGAGCGCTCGTGGCTTGGTTCCTTCATCCCATCCATGGCACACCACAGCCGTGCATCATCATGCACCCACCAGAGCTCACCGCTGCCCGTGCTGCCCTCGTGCCTGCCTGCCCCCCTGCCTGCCCCCCTGCCTGCCCCCCTGCCTGCCCCCCTGCCTGCCCCCCTGCCTGCCCCCCTGCCTGCCCCCCTGCCTGCCCCCCTGCCTGCCCCCCTGCCTGCCCCCCTGCCTGCCCCCCTGCCTGCCCCCCTGCCTGCCCCCCTGCCTGCCCCCCTGCCTGCCCGTGCTGCTCTGATGCGTGCCCGCCTGCCCCCCACTGTGTGGTCAGATCGGCGGCACGCCAGCAGTGCTCAAGTACCTGCTGGAGAAGGGGCTGCTGCACGGCCACTGCTTGACTGGTCAGTGCTTGCTGCTGCATGGCGCTTGGGCTGTGGCGCATGGCGTGAGGTGCACCGTGCGTGCAGCGTGGTGGATGGGGCGTGGTGCATGAGGGATGGTGATGGTATGATTTGTGGGTTGACGAGGACATTGGGTTGAGACCTCTAACCTATCCCGTCTCACCACTCCCCTCTCCCTCTCTCTTGCACTCACCACACATGGCCCACATGTCTCCCCCATGCAGTGACGGGCAAGACCCTCGCAGAGAATCTCGCCTCCGTGCCGCCACTCTCCCCCGGCCAGGTAGCTATTACGCATCTCCCCTGCCCTCCCTCCCTCCTGCTCCTTCCCCATCCCTCCTTGCCCCCTTCCCCATCCCTCCTTGCCCCCTTCCCCATCCCTCCTTGCCCCCTTCCCCATTGCTCCCTTTCCAAGTTCCTTGTTCCTGATTCCCTGCCCTCTTCCTTGGCTGAACCCATTTGGTGCAGCATCGGCTGTTTATAGAAAAGGATGCACCCATCGGCTGTTTATAGAAAAGGATGCACCCATCGGCTGTTTATAGAAAAGGATGCACCGTTCCCCCTCCCCTCTGTGTCCACGTGGCAGGACGTCATTCGCCCATTGGAGGAGCCCATCAAGCAAACCGGCCACTTGCAGGTGAGCCAGCTGTCATGACAAGTGGCACTCTTTCCCCTTTCACTCATCATCCTGCCATCGCATGCCATGCCCCTTCACCCCATCGCATGCCATGCCCCTTCACCCCATCGCATGCCATGCCCCTTCACCCCATCGCATGCCATGCCCCTTCACCCCATCGCATGCCATGCCCCTTCACCCCATCTCAGCCCGTGCCGTGCCTCACCCAGTCTGCTCGTGCACTTATCCTCTCTCCCTCGCCTCCTCCCTCTCCCCCATCCCCTCCACCATCACCCACCCCCTCGCAGATTCTGTACGGCAATCTGGCGCCGGAGGGGTCGGTGGCCAAGATCACGGGCAAGGAGGGGCTCTACTTCAAAGGTGGGGGTTTGTGGGGTGGTGGGGAGGGTGGGGGAGCCTTGCCTCCACTGTCTCGCTGCCACGTGCACGGCACACTGCCGGCCACACAGATTCTCCTGTCGTGTGCGTGCATGCCACATATCGCCACGCCACTCATTCATGTGACACGCGTGTCGCGTGTGGGTGCTCAACCATGCCCTCTGCCCAACCCCCCCTCCCCCAACCCCTCCACCACCAGGCCCGGCGTTGGTGTTTGAGGGCGAGGAGGCCATGCTGGAGGCACTCTCTGCCGACCCCAACAGCTTCAAGGTGCCGCCCCACCGCACTGCACCGCCTGTTACCCAACCCCACTCCACCCCACTTCAACACACTCGCCCCGCCCCGGCACCCCGTGCTTCTTGCAGCCTCCGACCGCACCCACTGCATTGCCAGCATGCTTTCACCCTCCCATGGCCTCATAAGTTCCTCTCCCACACGCCACCGCTCCACCTGCCCACCCTTTCCTCTCCTTCCCTGTCTCCCCCATCCCCACCCGCTCAGGGAGCGGTGGTGGTGATACGGGGCGAGGGCCCCAAGGGCGGGCCGGGCATGCCGGAGATGCTCACTCCCACCTCCGCCATCATGGGCGCTGGGCTTGGCAAGGTGACATGGGGGTGTGACATGGGGGTGTGACATGGGGGTGTGACATGGGGGTGTGGGAGGTGGGGGGCGTATGGCACGTGCGCAGTGCATGCTTTTGGCTGTGTCAGCTTGCGTGCACTCACGTTTCCACTGCTGCCATGCACCTATTACCTGTGCACCTATTACCTCTGCACCTATTACCTCTGCACCTATTACCTCTGCACCTATTACCTGCGCACCGTTTTCTCATCTACCCACATGCCTCTCTGCTTATATGGATCTCTCCCCTGCCTGCTCTCTGCCTGCTGTTCTTACCTGCCTTGGTCGTTACCAGGAGGTGGCGCTGCTGACGGACGGGCGCTTCTCTGGTGGCTCGCACGGCTTCGTGGTTGGTCACATCTGCCCCGAGGCCCAGGTACATGTGGCACCTCCCCATTCGCCCTGAGGCACAGCTACATATGGCACTTCCCCATACGCTACCCGCTCCTGCCCCTCCTCCGTGTGCCCGACACTGTGCAGCTTAATCACTTCCCTATCACCCTTCCCCACCACACTCCATCTTCTCTTTCCTCTCATCACCTTTCCTCCCATCCCTCCCATCCTCACACGCACTCATGCTCACCTCCTCAATCTCCCCACCTTGTCCGCTGCATGATTCTGCCTTGCCCCGGCGATATCTCTCCCCGCTTGTGCGGCAGGTGGGCGGCCCCATAGGGCTGGTGCAGAACGGGGACATGATCACCATCGACGTGGAGAAGAGGGCCATGGACATGGATGTGAGTGAAGACGAGCTGCAGCGCCGCCGTGCCAACTGGGTGGCACCGCCGCTCAAGGCCACCCGCGGCACGCTGTACAAGGTGCGTGCGTGGGCCTCTGTGAAAATCGCTGCAGTGATTTGTGCAAAGTCAGTGAGTTGTGCAGCCTCGTGTGCTATCTGTCTGTAAGCATCGAATTGTTCATGTGCATCGCCAGGTTCACGTTCATCCCCACGTTCAGAATCACCCCATCCATGTGCACTGCCAGCTCAGATTCTTTCCTTGCCTTGTGCGTTCTGCCGCCTCCCCTCCCCTCCCCCTGGCCACGGCAGTACATCAAGACGGTCAAGTCAGCGTCTGAAGGCTGCGTTACGGACGAGTAGATGCATGATGTATCGTGCGCACCCGTGAACTTAAGACATTAGTGCGGCTAGCTTTCACAGTTTCCTTGTGGAGTACCTCAATAAGAAAGTGTACTGCATCTGCAAAAATTTCATGCTTCAATCAAAGCATAGTGCTGCTAAAAGCCAAACTAAAGCGTGCGTATGAGCAACTGTTGCTCAAGATGGAGGCACTACAGGGAAGTCATGACAGACATGAGTTATGAGGATGAGAGACTCCTATGCAGGTAAATCTTCCACCATGTCACATTTTTTGTGGTGGTAGGGTGATTGTTGTGCATGCATTTGTTCTTTCATCCCCTTCAGCACCAGCTTCCACAATCAAATACTCACTATAGAGCACCCACACGGTACCTTACAACTAATAAGCAAGTTACATATAAAAGGCACAACTCTGTTCTCGATTCCAAGGCACTGCAGGCATTGCACCATGCATTACTATGGCACATCACAAGAGGTCGAGCATAGCGCCTCCGGATTGCGGGGGAGCAGCGGGGCGCTGGGGAGGTGTGAGACTAGCACCCATGGCAGCAGAGGCAGGCGGGGCACGGAACCCATGCGATGGTGGGGGAGCAAACCGCATGGCACCGTACACAGCACCGCCAGCAGGAGCAGCAGCCATGGCAGGCATGCCACCCATGCCACCCATGGGAGCAGCAGGAAAGGCGCCAAAGCCTGGAGCCATGCCCACGCCCCCCATTGGCCGAGCCATTCCCATACCCATGCCTGCTCCCATGCCCCCACCCCCCATTCCCCCTCCCATGCCCATCCCCATGCCCATGCCCGTGCCTGCTGCTGCCATGCCCCCCATCCCTGTACCAGCAGCAGAGGCTGGCGGGGCGGCGGACTGGAAGGAGCTGCCGCCCCAGTCGTCCATGTCCAGTGGGCCACTGGCCTTGGACACTCCACCCAGGGGGCGCGGGGCAGCACTCGTTGCTGTTGCCGCTGCTGGCGCTGCTGCTGCCATGGATCCTGGTGCTGCCTGTGGTTTTCTGGGAGGCCAGTCTGCGAAGGGGTCGTTGGGGTCACTCGCACCACCTCCTGTTCCTAGACCCCCTCCCCCTGCTGCTGTGCTCCCACCCAGTCCCCCACCCATGATGCCTTCTCCCAGACCTCCACTGAGCCCTGTGCTTCCTCCCAACCCCCCTCCTAATGACCCGCCCATAGGCGGCCCCCCTAATCCCCCTCCCAAGCTGCTACCGAGACCTCCCATACCCCCCCCGCCTATGCTGCTCCCAATACCGCCTCCTCCTATCCCCCCCAACCCACCCCCGCCGATGCCGCCTATGCCGCGTGCAGGCTTGGCAGAGAGGGAAGCAAGGCTGGGGGATGGGGCAGCGGAGAGAGTGGAGGAGGCGAAGGGGTCTGACGTGCCAAAGGCAGAGGAGGCGGAGGAAGCGGGGGTGGAGGAGATGGGGGGGGCGGAGGCGAAGGGGTCTGAGAAGGAGGAGGGGGCCGAGGGGGCAGCGGAGGAGGCGGGTGCTTTGGCCCAGTCTGGTTGTGCGTCCCACGCCGGCGGCTTGGCGCTGGTGGAAGGGGCGAGGGGGGAAGGGGGTGGCGGGGGAGGGAGTGGGGGACGGATCAGGTGAGGGAGTGGGGAACGGGGAGGAGATGGGATTGGGTGGGGAGAAAGGGGGGCTAAAACGAGGAAATTGGCTGAAAGGAGGTGAAAGATTACCTTTGAGCAGCGATAACAGTGAGGCAGGGGGCTGACCTGTCGTCAAAGGCGGTGGTGGCATCGGAGGGCGTGGAGATGCCCATTGATGCGAGGTCGAGCGATATGGAGTCCGCCTCACTCAATGACACGCCCCTCTTGTCCTGTATCTTGCTGCTCACCGCCAGCAGTAGGGGCAGGGGCACGGGGCATGGGCATGGCACAGATGTCACGTTGCGCAGGGGAAATTCGTTTGAAAGAGTGCAAAATTTGATAGGTCACTGAGTGAACGGGATCCTAGTGAGTTGTGATAAAGTAAACCACGCAGCAGAGAAGTGCATGTGCAGCGTAAGCTTGAACGCAAAGAGAGAGTGAGAAATAGAGGCGCGGGTGGGAGTGAGTGTGTCTGTGCGAGAGAGAGAGAGCGGTGGGGAGGGCGGGAGGAAGCGCACGTGAGGACGTCCATAATGAGTTTGAGGAAGCGGGCGAACTGCGGGCCTGTGAGCTGCTGCACCACCAGCATGGGGCACAGCAGCGGCAGTATGTGCTCCGCTGCAAACTCTATTCCGTACTGCCATGCCACACACCCATGCCATGCCATGCCGTGTAGTGCCATGCCACACACCACAAGACGGCCACACCATACAAGATGTGGAGCAAAGAATGTTGTTAGAAGAACCACGGGACATGGTGGGTGGCGCAAGAGAAAATCGTGAGGTGTGGAATAACAGAGACAGTGGAGCAAGCACAGAAAACAGGAACAAGACAATCAGCCACAACAAGTACCTGCCTCAGCACCCCACATATTTCAGCGCGCACCTGCCTGAGCACGCACCTGCCTCTGGATGATGTCAGCAATGCCGACGATGCACATGAGCGTGGGGGGCGAGCGGTCGACAGCAGCGCAGCGCACACACGTCTGCAGAATGTCCATCACCGCTGCCTTGTCCAGATTCGGTATCAGGTCGCCCAGACAGATCAGCGCCTGCACCCTCACCTGGTGGCGTGGCGCGGTCAGAGCAGCAAGGGCGGGGAAATGGGAAGAAGGGGAGATGCGCAGTTAGTGGGACGACGTATGGAAGTCTGAAAGGGGGAAAACACAGTTAGCGAGTGACTGGAATGGGAGGTTTGGAGGAGCCCAAATGGTGGATGGTAAAGGGAGATTGAGAGAACGCAGCAGGGGCTGTGGTGGAGAGGAGCAAGAGAAAGGAGACATTGCTTGAGAGAGAGAGTGTGTGTGTGTAACGTACGGCAGCGACGGAGGTGCGGAGGGCGAGCATGTGCACGCGCGGCATGATGACGGATCGCACGATCTCAAAGTCCAGTGTGGACACCAGCACTGCTGAGCGCCGCAGCGTCTCCTCCTGCAGGCGCGGGTCCGCGTCCTCATAGGCGCGGACAATCATGGGCAGCACGTGCGACATGAGGATGGCTGGTGACACCTGCACGCAGAGACATGCACCAGAGGCACTCAACACAACAATTGAGGCGCCTCAGCAGTCGTCTCCTCCTGCAGGCGTGGGCCCGTGTCCTCGTAGGCGCGCACTATCATTGGCAGCACATGCGACATCAGGATGGCTGGTGACACCTGTACCACAAACAGACAGGGGCACAAAACGCGCATACTTTTGAGGGCAAGGGTCCGCATCCTCGTAGGCTCGCACTATCATTGGCAGCACATGCGACATCAGGATGGCTGGTGACACCTGTGATGAAGGCAAGAGACATGCACCAGAGGCACACAACACACACCACAGGGCGGGAGACAGAGGGAACAATCAGAACGTGCAGGTGGGCAAACAATCAGTGGTTGGTTAGGCAGTGGGATGAGCAGCACTTTGGTGAGAGACGTGGGTGGCCCACCTTGGCAAAAGTAGCCCACCTTGGAGACGATGGCAGGGAGGTGTTTGATGAAGAGCAGCAGCACGTCGCCCTCCGCTTGCTCCATGGCGGGCAGCAGCAGCGCAACTAGCCCATCCAAGAGCCCTCACTAGCCCACCTTGGTGCGCACCTTGGCAAAAGTAGCCCACCTTGGAGACAATAGCAGGGAGGTGCTTGATGAAGAGCAGCAGCACATCACCCCCCGCATGCTCCATGGCGGGCAGCAGCAGTGTCTGTGTGCGCAGCTCAAAGTCCTGTGCGTCCTGTGCCTCTGCCACCTCGAGCACCCAGGGCAGCGCCAGCAGCTGCGTGGCGGGGTTCTTCAGCTCCTCTAGCAGCGCGGGCAGCACCTTGAAGCGCAGCACTCGGCTGTCAAACCCCGCCCAGATGCTGTGCAGCGACTTCAGGAACTCCACCCTCGCATTGTTGTCCCGACCCTGTGGGGGGGGGGGGAATGGGTTGAGAGGGCCGGGGAGGGGTGAGGGTTGAAAATAGTGTTGCGGGAGTGAAAGTAAGGGTGCAAATGTAGAGATGAGGGAGGAAGAGGTGGTGATTGTATCGTTGTTGTAGAATGACAGAACGACTCCATACCGTTGCACGAAATGAAACACACACAGAGGAGGCGCTAACTTGCAAGGAAGTGCTGTGAGAAAAAGAGGGCACATCGTACAATCATTTGGTCAAGGAATCTGAGAGCTCGCAGGCGCATGTCCTCTGTGAAGAATGGTGACGCTGCAGCCACAGGGATGGGCGCATGGTGGGAATAAGAGGCAGGGGTGGGTTGGGAGGAGAAGGCAATGACGACTCACATCCCAGTAAAAAGGCACGGACGGAATGGAAAGCAAGGTGCGGGACACTACCGGGTGAAACACACGAAAAAGGGGGAGTGATGGGAGCAGGCACAGCTGCAGCTGGTTTCAGGGCAGGGTGAGGGAAGGGGCTGACCGGCAAACTCAGAGGCGGTGGGGCGGGCAGCAGGTTCAGGGGCGAGCATGCGGCGCAGGTCTGTCTCGAGCTCCATGGGGATGCCTGCCAGAGACTCCGTCCTCAGCCCCGCCACCCGGTTGTTGTACTGCCAACCACGCGCATGCCGTGGGGTGGGGCGCGATGGGAGTGCAGTGCAGGGAAGGAAAGGAGATGGGCAACGTGAAAGTCAGGACTGAACGACTCACTCTTTATCAACCAGCTCTCTATCTCTGAAGACACAAGGACAGCTGACCACCGCTGCATTCAAAGCCGCTCCAGTGCACTCGCAGATACTCAGTCTGCGGCCACAGCTGCTGCATTGCACTCACGGTGCGCAGGTTGTTGTTGGCGTGTATGAGGCGGCGGCGCGCAATGAGCTGGAAGGCGAGCAGCGCGAGGGAGAACACGTCCACACTGGCGAGCGCGTCCCGGGAGGCAGCAGCGGAGGAGCGGTTGATGGTGGGGCGGCGTGTAAGCTCCG